CTACTGCCAAAAAAATCCCAGACTCCTTTGGGAGCTTTAGTCTGTGCTGGCTAAAGCATGTTAACTTGGCATCTTTTCATCCATCACCTGGCATTTTGTATTTAACCTGTTCCATGGTAATATAGCGCCCTCTAATCCAGGATATTGTATGTACTGATGGGTTTTTTTTTTTGGGGGGGGGAGCTTCTGTAGTTATCTTTCCTTCATTCAGGTTTTGCTGAGGAGGAGGAGCTAATAGCTACAATAAAAACTTAAATTCATTCAATCTATTACATGAACACAGTAGCATAGAACTAATATTTCTTGTCATCAATCAGATTGGAGTCTAGATGACCACACCATCATCAAAAAATATGCTTTCGGTGGTTTTCGGTAATGAAACTGATAGCATGTTTCCTAAGAATTTAAGAGGACACAAATGTAAGATACTACAAATATAAGGGCCCTCGATGACAGCTAAATTTCCCAATCCCACCACGACACAGAGCCAGCTCTGTGAATTCCAATTGCCACGTCAGGGCCTGTTTAATCTTATGTGACAGGACTTGGGCTCCCTGACTCTTTGATAAGGTTATTTCAGGACACACAGACTTCAGTTCAGGTTCTTGAAGGATTTTACAGAAGCTGAATACTTTATCAGTAGAGAAAAGATAGTGGTTTTAGGGTGAGCCTCTTTCCCCAGCTATGGTTATCGTGGCCACGCTGAATGGACAGCATGTGTGTGTGGATGGACCCAGGGTCATCATCTGGCATTTCAGTCCTCACTGCCCCCGGCCAGGGTGGGAAGGCACAGGGCTGTGGAGTTGGTCAGTGTGGAAACCAAGGCTCACAGAGCCACAGACCTGCTTGCAGGTGCAGGATTTCTGTCTCTTGGTGCAATATGGATTTAGTTCCCCAACTGTTTCCCAGACCAACCCAAGGCCACTCAGGGGCACACATTACAAATGTCCATTCTAGGCCCCAGTCAGATCTATGGAAACAGAAGCTCAGGGGCTCAGAGAGTGGGCCCTCCAGGGGATTCTGACGAATGTTCAAGTCTGAGAACCACTGCTTTCCATTAAACAGGACTCTACACTGAGTTCCAGGTTTCTTTTCTTTTTTGGGGGGGAGGGTGCGTGTAGGGTGAGGGCAGCGTGACGACCAGGCATTGAACTCAGGGGCACTCAACCACTGAGCCACATCCCCAGCCTTATTTTGTATTTTATTTAGAGACAGGGTCTCACTGGGTTGCTTAGTGCCTCACTGTTGCTGAGGCTGGTTTTGAATTTGGGACCCTCTTGCCCGAGTCTCCTGAGCCACTAGGATTATAGGCGTGCACCACTGCACCCGGCTGAATTCCAGGTTTCAAAAATATTTCTGATACAATAATTTTAAAGCCAAGGCCTCCTAGTGGTGTAGTGGCACTCACCTGCAATCCCAGTGACTCAGGAGGCTGAGGCAGGACCTTGGCTCTATCATGGGGCTACATCCCCAGACCTTTTTATTTTGAGACAGGGTCTTGCAAAGCTGCCCAGACTGGCCTTGCCATCCTCTTGCCTCAGCCTCCCAAGTCACTGGGATAACAGGTGTGCACCACCTCCAAATGCTCTCTTGATGCTTAGTGCAATGGCATGAACAGTCCTTGGTTCTTATTCTTGTCCTGAGCAGAATTGTGACTGCTACCTACCTTCTCTGAGCTGTAGTTCCCCTTCTTGTAAAATGAAGTATCATACTGAACTTGTAGTATTAAGGGCTAAAATGAAATAATGGTTGTGGGGAGCCTGGCAGTTATAAATAAACATTGTTTTTCTCCCCATCCACTCCAAAAGGAGTCCAGCTGAGATGATCACCAATTTCATGTGGTTTAAAGGAATCCTGCACTCAATGCTTTATTAATTCTTTTGAAATTTGCTGAGGATGCGTCCAAAAGAACAGGCTTTTTGTTTTACACTTTTCCCCCTCAGTGAATTATCCCCCTGGTTTAGTGACATTTCAGACTTTTGAGTGCCATTTCAAACCTCAGAGTTTATTAAAGGCTTCTAGTGAAAAAATTTAAAGTTATGAGGCCAAACACCTATGTAGGGTTCCCTCCCATGCATGTTCAAGTCTGAGAACCCCTGCTTTCCAGAAGTAGCAGAACTCTACTTCTGGACGGGTGCTCAAGGCTAACTGGTGTCCATGATCCCGTGGCTTTCAGTATACCCTGAAGGGCAGGTTCTTATGAGTCCTGTTCAAATGTCGACTTGGCTGCCTGGGTTCCCAGCTCTTTCCTTCCCCCACAGCAATGCCCCCGTCTAACGCCCAGTCAGTGCCGGGGATCAGATGAGCTGATTCTATGTGAGGATGGCTCACCGCAGGTCCAAGCTTGCTGTCTGGATCCTTGACTCACTTGAAGGGTTCGCTCAGCTAAGAGCTCCTTACACTCCACCTGGCCCTTCTTTAATGGTAAAAGATGTTACTGTTCCCAAGTCCCTCAGCACTAGGCTCTCAATGTGTCCTACACATTTTAGTGTTTCCAACTGGAATGGTTTGGGGTGGCAGGGAAGCAACACAACTGCCAGAGTTGAAATCCTGGTTTTGTCATGAGCTGGCTATATAACTAACTATGGGTAAATTCTTTAACTTCAGCTCTCGGTTTCCTTATCTGTAAAATGGGATAATGATACCTACCCTTCAGAATTACAATGAAGTTCAAGTGAAATCATACAAAAAGAACATACTGTTAAGAATATAACCGGCAGCCAATATATTTGCTATTATTTCAGTTCCTTAAGTTTCCCAATTGCTGTTTCCCAAAGGATCAAAGAAACTTATCCCACTATAGTCTTTCTTTCCCACCAAGCAATTGGTTGAAGACAGGCAGCCAAAGAAGCAGGGAGGGCAGTAAAGAGCCTGTGAAAACTCCAAAGTGATATAACAGGAACGATTAAGAATCTTCAGGAAGCATTTGCTAGATTTTGCTCCTGAATGACCCATGAACAGGGACAACGTCATCACACCCTTGTCTAATGCCAGGTGGAGTCTAGGACAACTTAGGACATGAAGATGATGATGGTAAAGAACATTCCTTCATTTCAACAAATATGTAAAGCACCATTCTTGACTCTGGGTCAGACCCCTGGCCTCACAGAGGAAAGATCTCTTATTACTAGACATAACCATGGGAATCCTCTTCCACTCAACAAATGTGCTACTGAATCTCAGAGTTTTCAGAGGGGTAAACAGTGAAAACCACCAGTCAATCATTGTTGGTTCCTGCATGCTACACCAGTCCTCTGCCAAAGGCAGGACACACCATCACTCATCCACACAGCAGGGAGTGGCCTCTGACCTAAGGAGTGCCACTGGACAAATTTGCAGATTTGGAAACTTCAAGTTTCCATGGTAAATAAGTAAGAAAGTCAGGAGTGGCTCAAAACCAAAGCCTTACCTAGGTTACAGCAATGGATTTCAGTAGGTGTATTTTTCAACAAGCTGTAGAAAGAGGTGAAATTCGGCCCAGCCTATGCTAGCAGCCAAATCACCCCGAGATACACCTTTTGGAGACTCGCTACGGCTAAAAAATTCTTAAATGACCCAGACCTTATTTAGCAGGCCAAGTCTTCAGTTGAGATTTAAAGTCTGTTCAGACTTAGCCTCACTGGAGCTTTCCAGCTTCATTTCCTGTGGGCTGCTTGTCATCTCTCAAGTGGCGTCTGTGCTGCTGTACCCTGTACCTGTTGGCTCACAAGGTACGTGTCTCCCTCGCTGCCTCTAGTCATGGTCAAGAGTCAACCTTTCCTCAGGACTGTTTGGGATCTCAGTCCTTCTGTAAGATTCTTCCTAATCCCACCCCCAGGAAGATGTGATCCCAGCTCTCGAACCCGCTGGGCTTTATAGCTGCTCAGATATCCACTCCCATTAATGTAATTGACTCATCTTACTTCCTGTCTGTAATTCTCATACCACTTAGCCCGGTGGCTCTGCTGATTGAATCAGGCTCACTTATGACTTCCTGTGAACAGCGAGGTAAAGGATATGCCACATTATTAACAGCATCTTATTTTTATCTGTGCTGCTGTACCCTGTACCTGTTGGCTCACAATGTACGTGTCCCCGCTACTTGGGAAGCTGAGGTGGGAGGATCACTTGAGTCCACAGGTTCAAAACCAGTCTGGTCAACATAGTGAGACCTCCATCTCAAAACAACAACACTGATTGTGGCTCAGTGATAGAGAGCTTGCCTAGCACGTGTAAGGCACTGGGTTCGATCCTCAGCATCAAATACAAATAAATAAAATAAAGATATTGTGTCCATCTATAACTAAAAAAATAAAAATAATAAAAAATAAA